GAGAAAGGACCCTATGCATGTATGCGATGTTCGTGATATGCATCCTATAATATTATTTCAATTAATTTTTCAAAAGGATTAACCAATGTGCTTTTACTTCTGATGAACTTTTGACGTTATGTGCTTTGTCGACATGATAGGTTGTACCGATTTTACCGTCTCGATTTTTCCATGACCAAAGAATGATTGTGTTGATTGTAGAGCGACTTGCCATGTCAGTGCGCCCCTCCCTTTCCTTGGGGATGTCAATCCTCCTATTGATTACTATCTCCACATTTCCCTACCACTTACTAGAATGCCGTAGTGGTAAGGGTCAAGAGAAAAGAAGGAAGAAGATATTTAATTCAAGGGCTTGTGTTTTTAGAAGTGTTTCATTTTGATAAAAAATTGTTTTTGTAAGCACGGCTAGCCAAGGTTGGTTAGAGTGTTTAGGCTAATTTAAACAAACGTTTTGTTTATGAAGTGGCATCTTATTCTATGGCGCTTGCTATGACTGATTGACTTCCATAGTCCGCCCTTTGGGTTTTCAGTCTTGGATGTTGTGTTTTGTTTTGTCCTAACTTTTGTCTAGGTTTCTTTTTTCTTGCTTTGGGAAACCTAGTGGACTTTATTTTGTAACCCTAATTTTTTCCTAGGCTACCCTTTATGGTTGTTCGGGTTTCCTAGCGGGTTTACCCTAACTTTTGCATAGCCCCCCTTGGTGGGTTTCCTACCGGGTATCTTGCCCTCTCTTTTTGGCCTTCGGCTTCTTTGGGCTTCTTTTGATTTTCTTTTCTCTTTGCACAACATTGGCAAAACATGACTTTATTATGATGAGGTGGAACCTTATTTTGTGTTTCTAGTCAATCAGTGATGATGGATTTGACTTTTATTTTGGTTAATGGCACAGTTTGATTACTTTGACGCGTTTTGAAAACGTTTACTTAAACATGGTTATTAATGAGGTTTAGATATGAATAGCAAGAAGAGAAGCAGATAGTAAGAATGACATTCTTTGTAATTAATAGAGAAATATGTGTCCTACAATGCTCGGGGGTCGGGCTAGCCCTGAGGAGTAATCTCTAATAGTCATTAGATTTACAAACCCTAAGAATCAGAAGGAGAACACCTAATGACTAAAGTCGCTTTTGACGCTTGAACCCCTCTATTTGGGAAAATCTTATTCAAGGTGTGGAGGGGAGACTTCCCTTTTCTCCGTGCAGCTTGATCCTTTGTAGGGTAATGCTTTAAAGGATTTTTTTTTTAACTTTGGTGGCTCCCTTATTCCTTGAGAGTTTCTAATAAGCCCTTGGTTTGGGCGGCATCCATATTTCCTTATCATGTGGGTCACCTCCATATTGTTGGGGAAGTCTCTTCATATTGGCAAGAGGGTATTCAAAGGTCCTCTTTAGTCGCATCCATTCAAGGTAGGATAGACGACTTGTTGATCCGAATGTCGTCTTTAGCTCAAACCGTGACTAGCTTGTCGCCTACCGTGAGTTTGTCTCTTTGGCGGAGCGTTGAAAGAACTACCTCAGCGTCATGAATCCAAAGACTATTCAATTTCCTCTTTGGATTATGTCTCTCTTCGATCTTATTATTTTTCCTTTATTCTTGTGAGCATTGTCTTGTAGCTCCTCTGGGGGGGGGGGGGGTAGATTCTTCTACTTCTAATCCTGCCCCCCAATGTCGGCTATGCTGGAGATATCCTTGTTAATGGGCGATGTTTTTGGTATCTCCACGGTACAACTTTATTCGATTCGAGGCGTGAACAAATGTAACGGCATCCTTGCCCCCTCTTCCTTATTAACGTGGATACCCAACGGTTGAGGCTTATTATCCTTCTTAGGCGGGTCAACCGTTGGGGAAAACTTGATGACAAATGCTCTATCCTCTTTATACGGTATTGAGGAATGTCCACTTTCTTCAACTGCCTACTACTAGATGCATGTTATGAGGATGAAGTTTGGTGGATGCATGTATGCAAGTGTTTTTAACTGGTGAATGCATGTATGCAAATGCTCTATCCTCATAGTCAGTCTTTGTGCCAAAAGAGGAAGGTTATTACCTTGAGTGGTGGTTTCCGATCATACCAGTGGGTTGCATGGCCCTCACTACGGCAAACCATACCTGCCACCCACTCCCTATGGATTTCTCACTTGTCCCCAGGTATAGAGGAAACTGTTGTGTGCAAGGGTTTGTGTACAGTTTGTATTTCAAAAATTGCGTAAAATAAACAAACAACAGTTATTAAAGCCAAGCAAATAAACATGTTATAAGACAAGGAAGGGTTAAAGCGAAATTTTTAAGTCTTTTATTTATCAACTCTCTAGCTTCCCTAGCGGAGTCGCCATCTGTCACCGCCATCAAAAGAGGCGGTCGAAGCGACGCGATGGTTCCGACTTCCCATTTTCGCGTTTTGTATGGGTGGTGTTACAATACCTCTAGGTTGTCCGATAACTGGGTTGGACCTAAGGGCGAGGTTTTTGAAGGGGTGCTTTTAGGTTGTCCGATAACCGGGCTAGACCTAAAACCAGATTTTCAAAGGGGTCCTTATGGAGTCGCCATCGATGTTTTTACCGGAAACATCGAAAAAGGAAAAAAAAAGAAGGCGTTGGTTTTTTAAGAAAAACCAACTTTGGCCATTATAACCAGAGTTGGGTAAGGGAGTTAGTTACGTGTAGGAAAGGTATTAGCTTCCCTACGACGCCCCTTTCGGGTTCCCTATGATAAGCCGGTTGTTTCGTAAATAAATTAAAAATGACACTTTTACCCTTTTATTTGCATAATTAAAGTATGACGACTACATGGCCCTAATTAATGCATATATAAATGATAAAGCGGTAAAAAGGAGAGAGAGAGTGAAGAAACCTTCGAAGCAAGCTTTGATTAATTCTTTTAAAGATAGGGTGCATTTTGGCAGCCCCTCGGTCTTACAATGTCGAATTCTCTCTCGAAACGCTATAAAAAAACTCTCTTAAAGACACTCAGAAAACTCCAGAAATGCTTCAGAGGGGCTCTAGGAGAAGAATTCTAAGAAATGATAGAAGGAGAAGTGGAAGAGCTATGTGAAATGAAGGGGAGAGCGCCCCCTTTTATAAGGATTCAGGCCTATCAGGTTGATCAGGATGAGGATGGATCAATTCGATTCGATTCGATTCAGCGCCCCCTCCCCCCACCCTTATCCCCGATCAATTCGATTTTTTCTGTCAAACTCAGGATGAGGACGGATCAATCCCCACAGGTACGATTTAATTGTCATCCCTAATTCCTTCTTCTTCTTTATCTTCACCTAATACTCTTAAGTAATGTTAACATACCCAACTCATGTAGGTGCAAACCCATACAATTTCAATAAAGACATTCATATATTATGGTGATCGAGATCTTCAAAAATAAACACAATTTTAATTTCAATAAAAAAAAAATAAAAACATAGTGTCATTCATCGGAGAGAAACATATAAACCCATCAATAGGTCATAATGATGGTATAGTTGTCACTCATCGCAGTCAAAAAAACGCCTAAAAAACTCAAATTCCGTTACTACCACACATGCATGTGCGAGAAAAATAAAGTCACGGAACGAAATATAAAACGGTTTTTCAGAAAATATGACCATATTTTTTGTTACGTTGAAGTTTTACTAATCCAGTAAAAAAATAAATATAAAAAATACATTTTAAACTAATGTTTTAAGTTATTTTATCACATCGGGACCACCTTTAAATCGGAAATATGTGGGCAATTACGTATCTTCTCATAAATCTTTAAATAGATTGACAAAAATATTCTCATAAATATTTAATAAGGTTGACAAAAAACTATAGATTATGAGGATGATATTCCGAGTTCTGACGAGGATTTAACTAAAATAAAAAGGTGTGGTTACGCTTGAAGATAGGGTACTACAATTATGACAATAGGGTGCACATGAGGTGGATTATGTTTAGTCTAATTAATTGTTTAATTTAATCAAAAATTAATTAAATTGGATATTTTTTTAATTTTGTTACAAACCATTGAATTTGATTACTTGGATTACAGATTTTTTTTAAATATTATTTTTTGAATGTGTAATTTCAAATCATCTTTTATATTTTGTAGAATGATTTTTAAAATAAAAACTATGATATTTAATATTTAAATAATTTAATATTTTATATATTATATATTAATAAAATAGTTGAATAAATTAAATAATATTATATTATTATTATTATTATTATTATTATATTATTTAATAATTTTGATTTTTGAGTTGGTTATAATATCCAAAATCGATTATTCAAATTATAAGAAACTGAGTTAAATAAATTGAATTGAGTTTGATCCATAGAAGGAATCTAACTCCATCTATTTATGTAATTTATTTATATTGTAAAAATCAATGATACCTAGGTTACTAATAAGAATTCGATGATGAGGTTACTAATAAGAAAATTGGTATCTGCATATCAGCTTCAAATTCAAAAAGTAGCCTAAACTGTAGGCGTGGACAGTCTGTGGGGGCAACGAGAACTAAAACAGGACCATGATGGTATAACTTTAAGGGAATTTGGATGAATCTTCCCATTTTTACAATATGCTTATCTTATTTATTACCACGCTCCCACACTACCTCTTCGTGTTTGGCCTGAACCAAAGAACTTCAGTCAGGAAGGATTGGGACCAATTCCATCAAAGTGGAGGGGAATATGTGACAAAGGAATTCATCATATTTTTCGCTGTATTAGGTACCATTTTCGTTGGAGCTTCTTGGGATATAGATCATAGCATCTTCTTGTTTTGAATTTTTTATGGATTAGTTATTTATTTCTTGTATATAAAGAAGACCCAAAAAATTAAATCAATAAACACATGATTATGGCCTGCAAAAGTATATACACCCATACACTATTTTGATTGCGAATCTCATCACAGCATTATAATTTATTTACTTACAGTCATCTTTCCAATAATGCTTTCACTTATCTTGGCTGGTTGCTTCAATTGATAACCACACTAAACTGCCACACTCAATGGCCGTTTCTAAGAAGTAATTGATGTTAACCTTGACTTCCCAATGTTCAGGCTTTGTTAACTTGTATCTTTCCCTTTCTAATTAAAGCACAATATTATCTTAAAACAAACACCACCTTCTTTTTTCCACAAATTCTCGCCCTGCTTATTTAGCCTGCTTGTATTGTTTTCACACTCTGGGCAAACAAATAGACACGGCATACGTTATTTTTTCACAAACCCCTGCAACAGTCCAAAATTGATATTTCGGTATTTCCATATGAGGTCCAACCAGAGTTTCTTTATAGACTAAATGAAATTAAAACTAAAGTCTATTTTTATTATTTAAATATAACATTAATTATTAAAGATGACTAAATTCATGTAAAACATATTTAAAAACAAAACTTTGTATAACATCTTAGCATTTGATGGCAACTTTAAAAAAGTAATGAATGTTTCAAAATAACAATACATTTTTTTTTGTTTAAAAAATATCTAAACCACTTGGTGAACTGAATCTGATATGTCAACAAAAGTACACTAAATATAATTTTTTTTAAATAATAATAAAAAACAAAGACTCATGCTAGCAAAGGTGCTACCTTATATAACCCAAGGTTGTGTTCTGTTACATTCAAAGCAAGGCAAAAGCAAAGGAGGACCTTCCAGATAGGGTACACAATGAGGCCACCAAGTCCAACCATCCACTTTCTCCTCCAACTTCTTCTTGTGTGTCTACTGTACAGACCCAGCTTTGCAGTGAAAAAGGTGAGGCATTGCATTTTGCAATCTTGAATAAGGATAAAAGAAAACCTGTGGAAAAGATCTAATTCTAGCTTGTGGTCTAATCCCTGCATCATTTCGATTGTAGTCATATGTAGTGTACATGGGAGCCCACTCACATGGCCCAGAATTATCTTCATCTTCGATTGACTTCAATCAAGTGACACAGTCCCACTATGAGTTTCTGGGATCTTTCTTAGGAAGGTATCAAAAAGTGCAATTATAACATCTTAAGTCACATGAGGTTTCACTTATTGAATGTTTGAGTTTGATTTTTGTAGTCGTAATACCGCCAAGGACTCCATCTTTTACTCATACACAAGACACATCAATGGTTTTGCTGCAACTTTGGAAGAAGAAGTAGCTGCTGAGATAGCAAGTAAGAACCATATATCCCCTCTTTTCTGTCCTCTGTGCTTACTTTCTCTCATTAAGAGCCTACCCTTTTTGTCCAAACTCGCTTGTAGAGCACCCCAAAGTGTTATCAGTGTTTGTGAACAGAGGGAGAAAGCTGCACACCACTCGATCATGGGAGTTCATGGGGCTAGAGCATAATGAGGTGATCCCATCTAGCTCAATCTGGACGAAAGCCAGATTTGGTGAAGGAGTGATAGTCGGAAACCTGGATACAGGTATGTTGCCTGATTTGTGTGTTTAAAACTCTTGTTATTCATTTCAAAGTGGTCAACAACACCTTGGAATTAATCGGGGTTTGATTATTGTTATTATTCTTATAATAATGTTTTATTCTAAATCGTTGACTAGTACACACATGTGGAAGATACACAAAGTTATCCCATCGTGTCTCTATCCCCCACCACCAATCTGTTTCCAAAGTTCGAGCCTTTCAAAAAGTTGATTTCATAACCTTAGTATATTGTTAATTTGAATCTTGCAGTCAATGGGTTGTTAGACTAGTTCTTTTCTATACCGAAAATGTTCATGTACGATCTTAAAGAAATAGACTAACCGCATTAATCTCTCGTAATTAGCTCCAATTACACTTACAATGATTTTTTTTTTACTTACAAATGGACACCTGTTTCTGATACGAGAAATGTTATCAACGAACCTGAAGATGTTGCAAATTGTTGTGTGGATAGATTACACTGAATAGAAATAAGGTATGGAGAATAATGATGGAGTAGCCGACTTTCAGTTATTTTTTATCACAAACGAACCACCTTTAAAAAAGGCAATATGGGCTATTAGGCTTCTTGTCGTTTGTCAGTTCATAAGAACTTTGTTCCAGTTCTAGGTTTATATAATTGTCACATATTTCAAACAATTTAAAACGTATAAATATGTTAATTTAGTCCATGCCATAATTTGTGATGCGTAAGGTTGGCCATCAATCATGGTTAGATCGGGACAAAACTATACATTATTGAGTTTTGTTGATTATATGACTGAATAAAACGGGTGTGTTTATGTTGTGAGGTGGGGCTACAATATTGGTGGCAAGGTGGGGATAGTCCAAGATGCCATGATAAGATCACCAATAAGAAAATTGGGATGTCCATACATCAGCTTCATTTAAAAAAGTTGCCTAAACTGTAGGTGTTAAAAGTGGGTGGGGGCAATGAGAACTAAAACAAAACCATGATGATACCTTTAGGGGAATTTGGATGAGATTGAGAAGGGTAGATGGAAGAAGTAGAATCTCCGTTTATATACAATATGCTTATCTTTTGCTCTTTTGCTCCCACCACATTGCATTACCTCTAGGTGTTTGGCCTGAATCGAAGAGCTTTAGTGAGGAAGGATTGGGACCAATTCCATCAAAGTGGAGAGGAATCTGTGACAAGGGAATTGATCATACTTTTCTCTGCAACAGGTACCATTTTCGTTCCAAATAAATCAAGTACTTCACTAATATTTTCCTAGTCATTTATTATGAATCGACAGTAAATTTTTCTAAGCTAATTATTGAATTCCTGCTACCCTTTGCCTAAGGGCACAGACCTTCTTTATATGGCATTCAATGAAAGGGTTAACTGCATTCATTTGAACACAGAAAATTTAGACTTGTATTTTTCTCGTTTTCTTATTTTTATACTATATTTTCACACCAGTGAGAATGAATACAAATGACAGATAAGCGCCGCAAAATCTTACCGCCCAATAGGGTTTTATTTCTCTCGTAGCTCCATCTTTCAAAGTTGACTATGATTTTGTGTTAATAAATTTTAAATTATTTCTTAATAAAATATATTTATAGTTTTTTAAAATTGCTATTATTCAGTGATTATATTTAATTAAAAAAATTAACAAAATAAGCTACCTAAAATACCCTTTTTAATAGTAACAATCAATTAGATTCTTGCCATTTCATGTAATAGAATTCTTAAAAACTCTTAAATTTGATTCCTCTCTGTCAAGTAGAACTCCAGAGAGGTTATAATAAGTTCTTACATGACAAAAACTAAGATTGAATTAATAATATGTGAAGTATAAATGAAGTAAATGTTGTAAGGTTATAATGTGTCATATATAGCTAACTCTATGTTATTATAATTTAATCATTTTATAATTTATACTTTAACTTTTTAAAAGGTGTTGTTTGTATTAAAGGAGACAATTTTCTCAAATACTCGAACAAAACCATATCTTGCTATTTGGAAGTATAAGAAAATCCAAACCCTTTTCATTTTTATACTGACTTAGCCTATCTCAAAAATTGACTGATGACAAGACCATACACAAATTTAAAAAGTTCTGTTTATGTTTTTTATTAACTATATCTCTACTTAATTTATATTAAGTTAATTATTAATTGTGTTTGTATAGGCGTATGTGCATGCAAACGGTAACGCGTACAATATTTTAATTTATCTTTTTACATGTATTAAATTAAAAAAAAATATTATCTTTATATTTATGTTTTTGGTTCTTATATTTTTTTTATCCTTTTATTTTAAAAATTCATTAATTAATATTTACATTTTAAAAATATATAAATTTACTCCATTAATTAAACATTATGAAATTTTTTATTTATTCATTTAGTAATCAAGAAGAAAAAAATTAGAAATAAAAGATAAAGGATGAATGGTTTTTGTTTTGAAAATTAAACCGGAACCAAAATAAAATTTGGCTATTTATTTTTAAATAATCAGACTTCGGTTAATTAATATAAAACTAGAAATATTACGATAAAATTGAAAAAATTAATAGGAATTTAGATCGAATTGACTTTTTTTTTTAATTTATCATCACATTTTTTTAATATAATTTTTTTATAAAAGATATAATATATTTTATTTTTTTTAATATTAATACTAATGAATTTATTATATAATTAATATTATAAAAATATTATTTTATTAAATTTGATTGGAGTTAAACTTTTAAATTTTGAATTTATATTTTTACCTACCAATTTTAAAAATATTAATTTTACGAAAGAGATAATTAATAATTACTATTTATTTAATACATATTAATAATTAATAAAATTATATCAATTAATAATTATTATTTATTTAATTGTTTTTAATAAATTTATGAGTCCATGTTTCACGGCGAATAAAACTAGTTTATTATCAATTATGAAGTAAGAAAGATGGCATTGGGGAGGGTCACTGAGTCTCATGTAAGACAAATGGCATTAACTGGTATGTTTGAATTGAACACAGTAAGTTGGACATGTTAAATGCATGATGCAGGAAGCTAATAGGTGCAAGGTACTTCAACAAGGGCTACGCCTCCGCGGCAGGCCCACTCAACTCCTCCTTTCACTCCCCACGTGACAAGGAGGGCCACGGCTCCCACACCCTCTCCACAGCTGCCGGCAACACCGTCCCTGGAGTTAGCGTCTTCGGCCAGGGCTTTGGAACCGCCAAGGGAGGCGCGCCCAAGGCCCGCGTGGCGGCCTACAAGGTCTGCTGGCCCCCCGTTGCCGGCGACGAGTGCTTCGACGCTGACATCTTGGCGGCGTTTGACACGGCCATCCACGACGGCGTCGACGTGCTGTCGGTGTCGCTCGGTGGGTCCGCGTCGAGCCTCCTGAATGACAGCGTGGCGATTGGATCGTTCCATGCGGCGAAGCGTGGGATCGTGGTGGTTTGCTCCGCCGGGAACAGTGGGCCTTCGGATGCCACTGCGGAAAATCTTGCACCCTGGCATCTTACGGTTGCTGCCAGCACCATGGATCGAGAATTCCCAGCTTATGTTGTCCTGGGTGACAATAACATCTTCAAGGTGCTTTCTCTCTTCCAATTTTTTTTTATCCATGGCTACTAGGTTTATCAGCTTCTAGGAGAGAAGAAAAGAATTTCTTTTCAAAGTTAAAATTAATTTATACATATAAAAAATAAATTTAGAGAATTAACCTAATGTAAATTTAATTTTAATTTACAAATAAGTCAAAAAAAAATTATTTTTGTTTACCTTTTTTAAAAGCCATTATAAAAAAAATCGTCTAATAATATTATATTTATTTTATACAAAGTAATTATTAACATCTTCAACAACATTGATTCCAGTATTCATCGCTCAATATTATTTACTTCATATAGAAAACAGCATTGGTATTCTGAATTTATTATTTTATTGTTCAGTCTCATTTCACAGTTCTCTTTAATGAGAAGAGAAGTAAGAGGAAAAGAACTACATTAAAAAAAAAAAAAAAAAAAAAAAAAAAAAAACTAAGTAGATTTTTAGAGTGTTTAAATTAAAAGAAGTAAAAGAGAAGTAGAAAAAAGCGAAAAGTTAAATCACGTTTTTCATATTTTCTTTTTTTAATTTGCTGAAAGATTCATATTCAATTTGATAATTTTTCTTTAGTTTCCAACATGAACATATTATATTATCTCATAACAGAAAAGTATTCACATTCACCATGAAAATCATGATTTTATATTGTTTCTGTAGTTGCAGTTTTGTGTTGTGATTACGGAATTTGTGAAAATCTTTGGACAAATTTTGCGACCCAAATGTGTGTGTCATATTATATTCCAAATGCAGACGTGGCCCCTAGTGGATTTGGAGTTTAAATAGACATTTGTGAATAGTCTTGTTTGCTTGATTTTGAAGGGCGAAAGCTTATCAGCTGCAAGATTGGCACAAAAGTTCTACCCAATTATTAAAGCTACAGATGCCAAATTGGCCAGTGCAAGAACTGAAGATGCGTGAGTATAACATATTCGAAACTCATTATTGCTGTCATTGGTTGAAAATCAGCATTTGCACATGACATGATTAACTTATTACTACCAGATATGGTAAATAAATTTTATGTTCATGCATGCAGGGTGCTGTGCCAAAATGGGACCCTGGACCCCAACAAGGTGGAGGGAAAGATCGTGGTATGTCTCCGAGGGATAAATGCAAGAGTGGACAAGGGAGAGCAAGCTTTACTAGCTGGTGCCGTGGGAATGGTCCTGGCTAATGACAAGGACAGTGGCAATGAAATTATAGCTGATCCTCATGTCCTTCCTGCTTCTCATATCAATTTCTCTGATGGAACCGCTGTCTATAATTACATCAAATCAACCAAGTAAGATACCATTCTAGTCTCCCACTTATTAATAATACAATTCCTTAAGCTATCACCAATTTGGAATTTCACTTTAGTATTTGGCATACTATATTTTGAACCAAAATATATGAGTTGCAATTGAACTTTCAATGTATAATAAGCAAAGGAAGCAATACTAATTTTTTGTGATTATTAGTTTTTGAGTAATGTAAAGGATAATCATGAAGCTTAGCTTTTCACCATGAACTTGACTACTTGAAGTTTATCTATTGCTAGGTTCCCAGTGGCATATATTACACATCCAATGACTCAATTGGATACTAAGCCAGCCCCGTTTATGGCTGCTTTTTCATCAAAAGGACCAAATACTGTAGTGCCAGAGATTCTGAAGGTGGCATTACTCACGAAGTGTAATTTGTCATGAAATTTGTTGTCATGTGTTATATATAGAAGTATCTAACAACTCTTAATTTGTCTCAATATTCAGCCTGATGTCACTGCGCCAGGAGTCTCAGTTATAGCAGCGTACAGTGAAGCCCAAGGACCAACCAATCAAGCGTTTGATAAGCGCCGGATTCCCTATAACTCAGTCTCAGGCACATCAATGTCGTGCCCTCACGTTTCAGGCATTGCGGCACTTCTGAAAGCCTCGTATCCTTCGTGGAGTCCTGCTGCTATTAAATCAGCAATCATGACCACAGGTGAGTGACACGTTCTTCAAGGTTTCTCATACTTTATATTCTTTTCCTCAAACCAATCTACAATAAAATGTCTGACAAGACTTAGAGATATTTACGAAGGTATTGTTCGGTAATCAGAATTGGGTTTCATCTCATAATCTATGTAGAGTGTTAATCTTTAATAGATACCTTTATTACATGGATATCAAAATAATCTCCAATTCCGATTTGTAAAACACAGGTTATCACGAGTAAACAGAAAAAAAAAAAACATTTATGAATCTACACCTAAGTTGTCTTAAAATATGTTATGTAAAACTTAGCATCTCAAAATATATATATAAAGTATAAAATTTGTCCTCTGCTCCTTTCAGCCACAACACTAGATAATAAAGTGGAGCCTCTGCTGAATGCTACTGATGGCAAGGCAACACCATTCAGTTACGGGGCAGGACATGTTCAACCAAACAGAGCAATAGATCCTGGGCTAGTTTATGACACAACAATTGGTGATTACCTAAACTTCTTTTGTGCTTTAGGTTATAATGGGACACAAATCTCAGTGTTCACAGAAGGTCCATCATATGCATGCCGCAAGAAATATAGTCTTCTCAACCTGAACTATCCTTCAATCGCAGTCCCTAATCTCTCTAGGTCAGTCACAGTTACAAGGACATTGAAAAATGTTGGTTCTCCAGGGACGTACATTGCTCAAGTTCAAAATCCTAATGGAATCTCCGTTTCTGTGAAGCCAAGCATCTTGAACTTCACAAGTGTTGGTGAAGAAATGAGCTTTAAAGTAACCTTTAAGCTCATTCAAGGAAAGGCTACAACTAACTACGTCTTTGGAAAACTGATATGGTCAGATGGCAAGCATTATGTCAGGAGTCCAATAGTTGTGAAGGCCCTCACGAGTAGCAATTAAAGTAGTTGATGCAATTTAGCTAATTTGCACTTCTAATTGAATGGTAGAGTTTTCTAAATTGTATTATATATCTTTCAAATTTGTGCTTCTTTAAGAGTTATCTCTTACATTGATTGATCACAAAGAAACCCGCAAGTGGCATTCTTTGAGCATATATTTTACTCGCTGTACTTTTACTATGATTCCAAGGAGAAATAAAACCTAACACGTTCAATCCTCCTTGTTATAAAGCTAAGAATATTGGTTCTTAGTTCAATTTGCGTCGAGAATTTTGTACATAATGTTTTTACTTGGTAGAGACAGTGAAGAACTATGATAAGAAAAATACTTGAGAATTTGTTTAACATACTTCCTTTGAAAACAAAAACTTCATCTTGATTTTGCTTGATTTCCATTTGGGAAGGTAAGTCATCAATTCAAGATCCATCATTTCAAAGATTTTCATCATTTTCATCCTAAATTTGTGGATTAAAATTGCATTATTTTTTGTCATTATCAACATAAAATAATGGATAATAATATCAACATTAAAGTGTTTGATGTAAAGAGTGAACTCATGTGAGCAATAATTTAATAGATAATTATTTTGTACCAAACTTTCAAAGGTTGTTTCAATTCATAAAATGTCTTCTTTAGAAGATAGACCTTACCTTCTCCAACTCTTAAGTTGTTTAGCGTAAATTTCTTCTTACAAGAACCTATTTAAAAATGTTAATTTAACATCTAATTGATACATTTTTTTAATCCATTTGTGTTAAAAAACAAGTAGAAACACAATACTTTAGTCTAACAATTGATGCAAAAGTGGCTATTAACCAAGTCATCTTTATGGTTATTAACCAAGTCATCTACATTTAGCTTTCAAAACACCCCTTTAACTTCAATGACTTTTCTGTCTACAAGTTGTCATGTATTATTTTTTTTAACATGTAAAGCTCTTCGTCCATTGAAAACATTCAGTTTGATAATGCTTTACTTGTTCAAAATCTGCAGGTTTATGAAAGTGCAATGTTCCAAGATTGATAAACATAAAAAATTACTCATGACTCTAAATGGAATGTGATCCACCATCTCACTTTGTCACTTTTTCATTTCTTTGTTCTTTAGCATTTGTGATAGGAAAATTTGCCTCTGTTGAAGATTAAGTTCTCTATTTCCAATTTTATTCTTCATTTTATACAAAGTGCACATCCCTATTATGATAATACTCCTTGTTTGTGACTATAAAACTTTGTAAGACTTGGATTATGTATTGTAACCAACAAAGATTCCTGGTATTGTCTTCTTATTTAGTTTATCACGCATTAACTCAAAAATATAATTGACCACGAATATAACAAGACATTAAATCTCAGAATATATCCCACTCCTAAAAATAAAGAAATTGGCTTTCACTTATTCAAAATATATTAAAAATGTGGTAGTAATCCTAATCAAATTAATGGACAAGCTTTCATCTTTCTTTTCAAATCCGCACGTCCTTCCTTGCCATCAAAGAATTAAGAGATGAAAACATGGGTTAAATGATCTTCTTTCCAATTTTTTTAATTCTAAGTTTTGTATTAACTTTGCGTTTACACTTTCTTTCTTTATGTTTCATGATTTCTTTTTGGCCTCTCCAATCCATTTTAAATTTATTTTATTTTTTAATTTCGAATTAATTTTCTTTTTAAGTTATTTACTTTTCAAGAATTTAATTACATTTATTTTAATTATTAAACTTTTTTACATTCTTGTCAATTGCTGATATTTATCCCATCTAATTTATTCTAGCAATTGGATTTCTTCAAAATAAACGAAATTAACATTTTGTTTAAAAATCTTAATACTCGTCAAATGCTGTTGTTGGGATGATTTCATTTGGTTCTTTGACAACCAAATCGAAATTAATTATTTATACTCGGTTTCAATTCGACGTCTTAATCAAATTCAAAAACAAAAATCCCCATACACACAACATCAAGTCAATATCGAATGCTGCTATGCTAACTTGTCAGAATTCCTGAAAGAATAATTGATACCAAGTCTCTATATTTCTATTTGGAATCAAACAACGAAAATATTACATTAAGAATTTGTGTCGAAGTTACAAAAGTCAAATCTACAACAGCCTACAACAAAAGAAATATTTGATTGAAAAGCAATAAGTTACTTTTTCTTGCTCAACTACAATTCATGAGAGGAGGAGATATAAATAAATAAAAATGGTGCGTTGAAGCAGAAGAAAAGAGGATAGATTATTTGGATAAATTAGTCCAACGAAGAGTAGTTGGGCGTAGTTTGAACAATCTGAAAGAGAAACAAACCTCAAAGGGCTATAATCTTCTTTCTGCTTTACTAGATTAAAACTAATGGCTTTTAAGATGTTCACTGGAGCAATTTAATCATGAAGCATTCCGTCTAAACATAAGAAAGCACGTGTATTATTTGGATTTTTTTAGTGAGGAAAAAATATGATATCATCAATCAGTCTAAAACAATTAAACATGAATACAAAGGCAAAGACACTTCAAACTTTTGAATAGAAACACCATCCCTATAAAGCCTAACACTCCCAAAAAAGGAAGAAACTTATTTCTCTTTTCTCTACTTGTGCACTTTGTGCTGAACTTTGAGTGACAATTAAGTGTAGAGTTGTATGATTGAAACTAATCCCTGTACTTCATTCCAGATACCAGGAAGCCAGGCATGTCAAACGTGGCAGAGAACTTCATAACATCAGCTTTGAGATCATCAATAGCCTTGTTGTTGACGAGACCCTTGCTGAAATCCTTGAGAAGTTTGCCATGCTCCTTCTGGATTTCCAGTGTGAGAGTCACGGCACGGTGAAGGAACTCACCAATCTGCTCAAAGTCCTTTTCAACCAAACCTCTAGAAGTCATAGCAGGGGCACCTGCTCACACAAACTCCACTCAGATACTCATGCTAAACAAACCCACACAAATTTAACTAAAATCTCAGAAAAATGCAGAAATAGGAGCAAAAACAAAGCATTTTGGTAATTCATCAAAATACTTCACTTTTATGTAAAAAATATTAAAATAAAAACAGTAACACCCTAGTTTATAATTGATTTGCCAATAATATTGCAGAAACACCTCAAAATGTTGTAAAAAGGCCAGCTTGCAAACTTGCCGCGAACTATTACACCGCTGTTAAAACACTAAAAAGAACACATCCGCAAAGAAATTTATTCCAATACTAATCCGCAGCAATTACTAAGAATACAATACAGCGTATATAAGCATTAAATAAACACAAAACTAAGATGTCGGCGATTTGGGTGTTGTTTCCAGATTTCACTTCAATAAATATGCTGCTATGCTAATCTTAAATAGACTTGTTTATTTTTATATTCCAAATCGAAAAACAAAACTACAGCATGTTTGATTTGGGTTAACTTTTGCCAATGTCAATTTCGGTCATTGAAGGCAAAGCAACAGAGTTGCTTCCAATTTTACATTGTGTCAACGTGATTTTGGATCTCCCACCGCCAATCCAAACACGCTACTAAATTACTTAAAAACTTCATATAAGTTTCGTGATTAAAAATTAGGGAATAGATAGAAATAATCGAAGATCTTGTTTTGAACAGAGTTAGTAAAGTAAGATTTGTACTTTAGCACATTGAAGAGAAGAGTAAGTTACCGATTCGTACACCCCCGGGGGCCAAGGCACTGCTGTCACCAAAAACAGCGTTCTTATTGACGGTAATGTTGCAGAGATCACAGAGTTTCTCCACCTTGTTCCCTGCGAAGCAATAACACATTATTATTACATTAGCAACAAATCGAAATGAGAAGGTGGAGGAGATTGATGGATCTCGATCGCGATCGCGTACCAGTCAATCCAAGAGGTCTGAGATCCCACAAGACAAGATGGTTCTCCGTTCCGCCGGTGACGAGACTGTACCCTTTCCCCATCAAGAACTTGCCCAGCGCGGCGGCGTTGGCCTTCACCTGTTTAGCGTAGGCCTTGAACCCTGGCGACGCGGCCTGTTTCAGTGCCACGGCGAGGGCCCCAATCTGGTGGTTGTGGGGGCCACCCTGGAGAGAAGGGAAAACGGCGAAATTGATCTTGTCCTCGAATTCGTAAACTGCGTTATCCGGCTGCCCCTTCTTGGCCGGCTTTGGGCCCTTCCGGTAGAAGATCATGCCCGCTCTGGGACCGCGCAAGCTCTTATGCGTCGTGGTGGTGACAATGTCGCAATACTCGAAGGGGTTGTTCACTTCCTGCGCGGCCACAAGGCCGCTAATGTGGGCCATGTCGCAGAGGAGCAGTGCGCCACACTTGTCCGCGATTTCCCTGAAGCGTTTGTAGTCCCAGTCGCGAGGGTAGGCGCTGCCGCCGCAGATTATCATCTTTGGCCTGAAGTCCAGCGCCTTCTCCTCCAAGCGCTCGTAGTCGATGAATCCCGTGGTGGAATTCACCTTGTAAGGAAGGCTCTCGAAGTAGATTGAGGTGGCGGAGATCTTCTTCCCGCCGGAGGTGTAATACCCGTGGGTGAGGTGGCCGCCGGAGGGGAGATCCAGCCCCATGATTCGGTCGTGCGGGTTCAGCACCGCCGTGTAGGCGGCGAAGTTGGCTGGGGAGCCCGAGTAGGGCTGCACGTTAACCCCCCAAGATTGAGCGTCTAGGTGGAAGACCTCGAGAGCGCGCGAGCGGCACAGGTTTTCGATCTCGTCGATAAACTCGTTGCCGCCGTAGTAGCGGTTTCCCGGCATGCCTTCGGAGTATTTGTTGGTGAGGGCGCTCCCCAGGGCCTCCATCACCGCGAAGGAGGTGAAATTCTCCGACGCGATCAGCTCGATGCCGCGGCACTGGCGGCGCTTCTCCTTCTCGATCAGGTCATGGATCTCGGGATCCACCGTGACCAAGGGCGCGTTCCCCCACACGCTCACTGGATCCATGATTGTTGGAAATTAACGAATGAATGTTAGTGAGTGAAGAAGGAGAAGAAAGTGTTGCGTTTGTTGAGGGGAATGTGAGTGTGTTTTTAAAAGGTGAGAGCGTGTGTGAATGGACCGTTGTAGCCTGTGCTTCAGGTTGGTTAGTTACGTGCAGGCAAATTACGTCCACTTGTTCTCCTGCTGCTCCTTTACTAACCACCCACTGCTTTCAACTCTATTTCTCATTTATAAAACCATTAATAATTGTTTTATGTTTTACTAAGAAATCCATTTGTTTGAAACCCCTCTCATAGAATCACTGATTCTCTAAAAATAGACATTTAAGCTACATATATTAGGACAAGATTCATGGTCTTAGAAATTCAGGATAGGATATAAGGATGTGTTTGTTTACCGGACATCAGAGATAAAAAAAAAATGTATGGGTTGACAACAGGTTGATTTCATAACCCATTTTCCAATATTGTCACAATAACATCTATAAAAATAATCAAAATTTTGTTTGAAATCCTTTTATGGGAATCATAGATTCCCTAAAAATACAAATTGAAGCTATATATACTATGACAAGTCTCGTCTTAGAAATTAAGTAAACAAGCATGCGTTTGTTTACTAGGGCATTAGAGAGATTGGCAATGGGTTGTTTAGTGTATAATCGGCTGATAATTCATTTTATTATATAATAATAATAATTTAAATTTTGTTATTACTACATAATAATATGAATTTTGTGAGAAAATTTATGTTAAACAAATAATTATTGCTACTCTTAAAAATCTTTAACTTTTATCCATCTCCATAAGCATAGAATTACTTCTTTCTAAACATGTATTCAGCATCAACTTTATTAAATATACATATTGAAAATATGTGATGTGACTCCAAAATTTCATATCTCATATGTGATGAGTTATTCCATATTTATAAGATGAAAAAATAGATAACATAAACAATGTATAAAGATAAAAATTCATATGTATATTATTTTAAAGTTTTGAATGGAAAATAATTAATAAAAGAATCTATGTGAATTTTCCTTTTGAAAGACTCAGCAGACAAAGACATTTCTAATATTTGATACAACATATACGAAACTATAGAAGAGTTGTTTAACCAATACGGGCAGAACAAAGTTGATTTGTTTGGTGAAAAGAAAACAGAAAACTACACCAATCTAGAATAGAGTTATTAGTAGGCTTTTCTTTCTTATGATAAAAATGATGAAACAGTGGTTTGTGTGTAAAAGGTGTGAAGCTTTCACTCACACTCGTAGATTTGCAAGTTTGACTTATCATGTTCGCTAAATAATCTCTGTCAAGCATGGGAAGAGTTTGATTTGAAAAATGCTTACATCAAAGGCTTCATGCAAAAACAAGCATCAACCTCACTTCTTTAATTTCAACTCAAGTTAAAGCAAGAGATTCATTTGTTCTACATCATGTATGTTTTCTCAGCAGTACGTCACTGCAAGATTTGGTTTTAAAGTTTCTTTCCAAATTCTGAGTGAGTCAGTGTTGTTGGTGGGGATGGAGTTGGTGGCAATGGGGTTGGTGGGGGGAATACAGCCAATTTATTCGCACCAAAATCACCAACCCTCTTACCTTACTTACTCCTTGCTTGATCACTAACATGAAAATTGTTAACTTGTAGGTTTGTGAATATGACTGGGAACTACTATATGTTATATTACCAATAAAATTTTGATTTAAAGGAAATTCAGAGGCTTAGATAATCCAATAAGTCTATGAGATTAATTTTGAATTGTCAAAGTTGGGTTGGCATATTCAACCAGAATCACATCATGTCAAAAGATATTATTTAATCAAGAACATCTTCAAAGATAAAGCAGAGGTAACATGTATGTGCACGCTAATCACCTTTTAAATGACTTGCCGTAACAAGGCTTTTATCCTTTATCTTTTATTCATTATATTAATTATTGACTCTGACCTAATTTGTATTATCTAGGTCTTAACCCATTTGTATAAAATTTTCATCAATTATCAACTTTAGAGGCAACATATTTTCTGTTGTTCATTTTATTACAAACGTTGAATTCAATGTGCTGAAATTATTTTTAATAAATAAATCTTCTAAGTAATCTTAGTTGGGGGATTAAGCTAGAACCTGAACCACTCCAACCAACTTTGAGCATTTCCCCCAAACACGTGTTTTTGGGTTATTTGATTGAACAACTTTACCCACATGCCCAGAATTTTGTTGTTCAAAAAGTTATTAGTAATTGACACATAAGATAGTTTATAAATACTTCTTTATTTTTACTTAATCATGAATTTAAACCATAAAGACAATAAAATTCATTAATTACATTTTTAATGAGTTATTTAAATGTTTTAAAATATTATATTACTAAACAATTTTGCATGTTTTAATAATTTTAAACATATGACTTATTTATGTTCTCAATGCTCTCATAATTCCATGATATTATTTAATTAGAAAGCGCGGCGCAAACGGCATCTAGATCCAATCTGTGCTATGTATAAACACATTAATTGACAAATACACAGATTTAGTGGGAGTTTGGTACCCCATCGGATATGTCTCATGGATTTAAAAAAGCACGTTAATATCATATTAAATAAGCAGAGAGTGAGATGTAAAACCAAACACAGCATTACTATAAAAAGCAATGCGTAAAGGTTGTTGTTGATATATTGTTTTAACATTAATTTGGCCATTGATTTGCTTTAACGATGGTTATAAAAATTAATTAAGTATAATTTATTTTAAGATTTAATAACATTTTATAGAATATCCATTCGCAAGTTACGCAAGCCTGAGATAATTTATTTTTTAAATAATATAAATTAATAATAATTAATATCATACAATTATATGTTCTCAATTATATATAAATATAAAACAACGATAACTTATACTTAAATATATAAAATAAAAAATTTTAAATACTTAATAATAATTTTACCAAAATCAATATTAAGTGTGAACTAACTATCTCCCAGAGAAGACATGTTTTTATTTCATCCCTATATTGTTCTCTCTTTCTTTCTTTTTTCTTTTTTTTTTTCTTTTTCTTTTCGGTTCCTTGTTATATCCGTTTATGAAGAACATGTTTTTCACTTTCCAGCAATGTTCTTGTACTTAAAAAAAAAAAAAAGTAATCATTATATTATCAAATCTTTTAGTTTTATATTATTTTCCCTGGATCACTCACTCGTACTATATAAATAAATGCCTACGGTATGGAATGCGACTTTCCTTATTTCTTTTTGGCAAAATTTATTCCCTTTCTTCTTCTTCTTTTTCTTTATTTAAAGAGGAGCCGACACAGTTTGTTTGAATTACATTATACGTTTAACGTATACTTTGTTTGAATATTGTTCTAGTACAAACAGGGACGAAACAAGATTAATTGAAATTCTTTTAAAAAAAAAAAATTACTAAAAACGTATATCAGAAGACAGATCTTTAATGTAACTCAATATACACTTTGTTCAAAGTTTACATTTTTAACATATTTGAATTCATGCACTTAACTAAAAACATGTTAGATTCTTATAAATAATGAAAAACAAATGTAAGGAAAAAGACCAAAAAAAAGTAAGAGATAAGAGTTGTTATTAGTGTATCTCAAACTTCTTTAGTGTTCATAATTTAGATTATAACATTAACAAAGATTAGTAAATAGTACTTAGTTATAAAACATTATAATCAAGTAAATACAAATATAGAGGCTAAAGAAACTTTGCAAATGTACTGTTTTTTTTTATAACTTTTAAAATAAAAACAATGAATGATAATATAAAAGTATATTAAAACTAAATCGTATTCAAATATTTTATCCATAAAAGAAAATTATATATTTATCTCTATAATAAGTCTATAAAAGAAATCGCATATCTATCTAACAAAAAATATCATTATTTTGAGAATAAAAATTATAAAATATATTATAAAAAAAGTATTTTTTATAAAGAAATAAGAAATAAAATAAATAATTAAATAATATATCTTATTTCAATTAAAAAATAAATCAATGTAAATATCGAAGTTTTAATACGGAAAGAAACAAAAAAACTTAGTTGTTAATATGTTGAAATGTATTCTTGATTAAAATCGAAACAATTTTTAGCAAATAAATTTGATAGGTTGGATATTATTTTATTGATAAAGAACTACAATTGAAAGCTTATTTTAGGATAGTTAAGCTCAAAAATAATTAGTGGATCATTTTCTTCGTCTAAATGGTGAATTAAATTATTCCTTTTTCAATACCTTACCTCTTAAAGATTGAATTAACAATAGTTTAGTTTATTTATATTAAAAAAAAAAAAAAAAACTAAGGGCAACGGATTATGATTAACTCTGATTCCTACAATAAAAAGTCACCTACTCCAAGTAGAAAAACAAATTTTAACACTTTTTAAAATATTTTTTCCAAAATGTAAAAAATGATGTAGTGTGATTTTTATTTTTATTTTTAAGTTCTACCAATCAACGTTTCTTAAATGAGTATAAGGACTTTATAATAACAACGTTTCGGTAGTAATTAGATTAAAAAAATGAATTTGAGAACAAAGAGAAATAAAAATTAAGTTGTTTGGATTAAAGAAAATTATAAGAAATATAAAAAAATATTTTTAAAAGTTTATGAGGGATATGATTGATATGAATAATAAAAAAAATTAATAGAAGAAATTTTGAGATTACAAAATTATTCTTTTAATAAAAACTATTATTATTATTAGAATTTAAAATATTATAAATATTTGAATTATTTTTATTTTAATTAGTAATATGAAAAATATTATTATTATTGTTAAAATTATTATTTATAATTATTATAATAATAATTATTATAATTATTATAATAATAATTATTATTATTAATATAATAATTATTGTTTATATATTATTATAAGTATTTTTATTATTATTAAATCGTTTTTAAAGTATAATAATTTATAAAATAATAGATAAAATTAAAAGACAATTTAAAAAATAAAATTTATATT